GGGAGGGAAAGGGTTTGCAGTACAAATGCTTCCTCTCTGACTGCCAGAGATACTTGTTTACAGATAGAGGCTGCCAGAATAAATAAAGCATAAAGAACATAATGCAGGACAGCACTATCGCTGGTACTAAAACCGTCTCGTGAATTTAATTAGTCACTTTGTATGAAGAGCAGCCTATGGTATGATGAGGCATGAAACCGGTCCCTGCGTGAGGTCATATTCCTTCAATCACAGGGTGGGTGTTCCCATACAGGCAGAAGCCAAGAACCTAAAGCCGATAACCTCATCTCAGACTGGGAGTTTTCCTGTGAAAGTGATCCTTTTGGTAACTGTTTGTTTAAAAAGTGACAGGCTACAAGAGTCTCGGTGACAGCGTCTATTCATCTCAGAGTGTCAGTTGGAGAGAAAAAGGGAACGAGGGAGGCAGAAAGAGACAAGGAGAGAGGAAGGCAGAAGGAAAGATGCTAAAAGAAAGTCCAGTAAGGAGTAAACGGGAGATTAGAGTGTTTTCACCGAAGGTGTGGTTTACCTTTAGCTCTTAACCATCTTCAGATCATCCTACTAGCAATTTCAGAAATTCATCTGTTGGGTGACTGAATGAGTGCTGATGTTTTCATCACTTTCGTTTTAATTATATGTCTCACTCAGCACAGTCTTCCTTCTACTCGGCTAATTTAGATTGAGATCCTTCCAGGCTTTCCCCTATCTTTCATTTCCCTCCCCTTCTTCTCTCCTCTCTGCATCCCATCAGCCCCTTTGTAGAAAAAAAGAGGAAGGAAAAAAACCTTCATGTCTGTGACTTTCTTGCCCTCCAGCGTATGAAGCCCTCTTTTATTTTGATCATCGCAGCACAATGGATTCATGCCATTCTGGCAACTTTATTCAGTATCAGCCCAAATTTACATACTGCTTAACAAGTTTGTGCGTGACTGTTGATGCCTCTGATCAAAGTGCTTTTGGAAATCTTTCTCATCTGATTTTTTTCCCGTCCTTCATTTCAAATGCATGCTGCAGACAGGCATCTTTAACTCAGGGGCAAAGAAAGGTAACCTTAGTGCTGCACAAGCCCAAATGTCATCCAACAAGGAGGGCTCATGTCCCGGGGATAAAGATAATGTAATCTAAGCAGTATACAGTGTGTGACTGTGTGTCTTTGAGTGTGTGTATCTACGCTAGCCTCGGTGTTTGTTGGAGGCTTGGGTTCGGGGGCGTAGGGAGACAGGGGATGACAAAAGTCAAAGCAGTCATGTGTCATTTTCAGTGCTGAAGGGCTGGGACCTGCCTCCAGGGCTGTCCTCTCTGTCAGACGCACTCAGATATCTGCGCTGAACTCTCTCGCTGTCTCTTTCTTTTCCTCTTTCCATCCTTCTCTCCGTCTTTATCTAATGCACGCGCATATGTGCAGCTGCACGTCCATGCACCAGCACACGCAACAACTCTGTGCTCGAAGAGCCATACAGCAACAAAGGTAGAAGAACATTTGCATAATAGAGACTATGCAAAACAGATGACGGTAAACCATAAACATCTGCTTTAGATATACAATATGCAATGAGTCATTTCACATTTCAACATCAGTGTCTTGACCGCGTGCCTGCTGCGGGAGCGAGACTGGAAGGGACGGGAATTGTTCCGTGACCAGAGACGCAACATGTAGCTCCCCACCCACCCAACCCCAACACTGATAGGGTCTGTGAAGACAAGTGGGGGAGAATATTTCACCACACTGCAAACCAGCGGTCCATAAATTTTCCACACGAGGATAGAAAAGGCTTCACTGCAAAAGCCCTGAAGTAGCCTCTATTTACAATAAAACGGGACTTTTGTAAATTTATGTGGCTACCAGGGCAAACAAGGGAATTGAAAACATTAAAGAACTAAGATTCAAAAAAATACAATGAAAAGAGGGTGTGGGTGGAAAGAGAGGAATCGTGGGAATGCAAGATTGCACCTCCCTCAGGCAATCAAATTATCCTATGGGCCGATGGTTCCTCCTTATGCGTCGGCTGACATTTTCTTGTAACCCCATCCCGAGTAATGCTATGTGATGTGTGTGACTGGCTTCTGCCACGGCCCTCAGAGGCCATGAAGCCCTATGGCCATTTGCTTTTGGCCTGCAGCATCCCAGGAATTGTTTATTTTAGCTCTGTCTGCCCCCATTTTTTTTTTTGCCTCTCCCCCCATCATTTCACTTAAGCTCTCCTCATCTCTCCTGTTCTCTCCGTTTCTCTTTCCTTCTTGCCCAGTGGTATCTACTTTCAATTAAAGAAGGATGCACTTCTATTCTTCTGTGAGACAAAACCACTGACAGGTGACTCTTGAGGGGTAACTTAAAACCATGCCTTTGGTCTCTTCACACAAACTGTTAGTAGTATCCCCGCACCTTTCAGAGATTACAAAGGTAATGACGGCTAACAACGACAGCGGTATCTGTTACTTGACTGTATGTGCATCTCTGTGCTGTGATGGTGAGAGCGGTAGGGGTATGCCAGAGAAAGAAAACAGCTGAAAATCAATGTACGATGTGCATGTGTGCGAGAGAGAGAGAGAGAGGAAAGAGATTTGAAGACAGAAAAAGATAAGATGTGTGATAAGAGATAATAGAATGATATTCAAAATATATCCCTGGAGCTAGAAGTTAAAAGAGAACATTAAAAGAAAACATTTTTGGATAACTTATGGATATGTAAGCCAGTACACCAATACGCCCGAACTTTACTTCATACTGACGCAGAGCCCTAAAGGGCATTGGTGGAGGCAGGCCAATCTGCTATACCCAAACAATGTGTGTGTGTAACTGTCGACATGTGACATGCAGAAAAGGGACAGTGTTGAGAGCGTAGCCTTTTATGACCCAACACACTTTGACAGCTTGGCCATCGCTTGAGGACACAGGCAATGTTGCTTTTTCATGTGACAATTTTAAGCAAAACAACTCTCCCTCGATGGATTCGATTGTTTCAGAGAGCCTTTGTGGCCGTGTACGTTAAAGTACAGAGACACGTCACAGTGGCCAGTAGATTCTGCTCGCTGCTAGCTAGAGGAGTCATACTGTCAATCTGTAGAACAAAAAGTGAGAGAAAGTGTAAGCGATATGATGGAAACTGCTTTTATGCAACACTGCGCTCTGCTGGTAGAGAGGCTGCTAACACGTTGATTAATTTGGCACAAGGAGGGAGACAGGCTTTGCAGGACTAATGCAACCTTAGTTCCCCGAGGATGCGAGTGTGCTTCTATCCTTGAAGCAGTTACCTCATTTGGACCTAAGGACATTTTGCACTGGCAAATTTTAAATATCCCAGGAGGGGCATACTTTGAAATATGGCCACAGGGTGGAACATCAGAATGACAAAAATGTAGATACTTAAAGTGAAATCTGCCTGTGACTTGGAGACCAACTAGAGAGGATAGCATTGAACAAGAGGTTCTGACTGTTGAAGTAGATCCAGCAAATTGCTTAAATCTTATCCAGCTATTGTTTAACATCATCTACAAAATACGAATGAATGACGCTTAAAGTGTACATGAACGCACGCAGATGGAAGAGATGCAAGGATTGTTTTTTTTTAAAAGCTGTGTTACGTGTTCACATTAATACATTGTGTGTGTGCAATTGGCCTGTAAGCTGTGTGTATGCGTGCGCATACAAATAATGCACCGTCGACAGCCTGCAGCAGTGTGCATTCTTGCTCGGAGAGTACATGTCCCAAGGCCTTGTTCCTCCGTCAATGACCTCTGGTGAAGCCATTATTTTCTGCATTAATGATGAGTAGCAGCCAGCGATGAGAGAGATGGACTTAGTCCTGAGGCACAGTAGCACCGATTATGGGCAACAACAATGCCAGCAAAAAGAAAGACGGAAAACTCTTCCCACAAGCAGTTCAAACGACTCGGAGTCTTAGCGAAGAATAAGCTGCATTTGCCTTATTGGCAAGATGAATTAGATAACCTAGAGGATTACCCAGAATGCACTATACCTATAGCTTTTCGTTTGGCTAATTTAGCGTCTCTCTGTCCACAATATGAAGAACCCCCCAAAAAAACTAATGGCCGCTACAGCCAAGTAATATTAAAATCCAACTGGAAATGCATTAGTGAGAGCAATTAGCGTATGGATGAAATGGCTGAGAGTGAGTTACACAAAACCCATTATGTCCTACAATTTATTAACTTATTACATGGGAAAAGATATCAGAGCACTAATTGATCTCGGACATCAGCAGAAACACCAACCTGTAAAGACTCACAAACAAGACAAAGTGCAATTGCTCTAGTCAAGGCAGCCAGGGCACCCACTCAGGAAATCCTGGCTTGGGGAGATGACTCTAAATGAAGGACTTTACCATTCACCATTATGTCTTTGGTAAGAGTCAGAGGGAACCCCCGGGGCTCTTCAGCACAGCACGGTACAACTTTTCAAAGGGCTCCAGATTAAAGTCACTGAAAGTTCCCACTGGGGTCTGAGGCCAGGATCCCATTAAGCAGCCCTACCACACCGCCGGCCATAATTGTGTCGTTGAGAATTCAGAGCAGTGGTTGCTTGATAAGCGAATTTAGGGAGAAATAAAAAAGGAGAGGCAAAAAAGGGGGTCTCGTTGGGCCACCATTAGACACTTCATTCGTTCATCACTAATTCGTTTTAAATGACTGAGGGAAAGGTGAGCACTTTATAAAGCAATCCAAGCTTCCAGCAACTCCCCACCCCCTTCCATTTTCAGGTCTGTGCAACAGAATGCTGATAAATGAAAAACGTTACACTTTATAGCCACACGCTTCACTTCTGCTGGTGGCGTTTTTAAACTGTAGTTATCTTTATCACACTACTTGCGTTGCAGTAGAATAATCAATAAAGAGAGTGAGGAAATCTTGTGCTCTTTTTCCAAGCCTCATCTTGAAGAAACCAGTCTTTGTTACTAGGAGTGTCACTACTAATAATTTCAGTCATTTTTATACAATGGCTGTATTTCGTAGAGCAAGCTGGTATAATGGAGTGAAACAACTTTTATAATAAATCATACAAACAACTCTGCTTTTATTGAGTATTTTGTTTCATTAAGGTTCTGAGTATCACATACAGTTTATTTTAACACCGGGGAGTTATTAGAATTATTTACTGAATGATAAAAAAAAATGTGACCATAGTTTAAGATCTGAACCCTAACCTGAGATCTACGACTGTGTGTTTTCGCAATAGTCAGCTCAACAGTTGGATGTATAATTCTGAAGGTCTTTACAACTGGTATAGCATCTACACAATAAGTGAAAATCACAAGTTATGAGTCAGTTCTTTACAATGAAATAAATGAATAAACCTTCTGAAACCTGCTAATATTTGGAACTTAAGTATGATATCATCATCATCATCCAAGTGCAATAAGGACAAGATTTTATACAACTGCTTTATGTGGATTTTTTCTGCTTTTTCTTCTCTGCTTCTTCTTCTTTTTCCTTTTCAATCTCAGCCACCAGGGTCTCAATTTCCTTGGATTCCAAAATCTGCAAAGAACAAAATGCAAACCCATTAGCACTTTAGTGAACTAGTAGAAAAAATAAAGTAACATTTGCCTTGTTAATTACCTTCAGTGGCTGATTTCGTCTGATAACAGCAAGTTCAATATTTTTCCCTCCTGACTGGACAACCTGTGACCAGCAAACAAAAAATAAAGTGAATACTGTGACCAATTCAGGACACATTTACTACGCCTGCTAAGACCACCCACCCACACACACACACACACACACACACACACAAAACATTGGAAAGCTATATAGAAGTTATAGTTTATTTGGCAGCAGTTTGTGCTCTTTGATGAAACCACGACTGTTTAATTTCACATCATAGAAGATGTAAATACACTGAGTTCTACATATATGGAAATGCAGAAACTAATCGTAACCTTACCTCAAGCAAAGCTTTGATGGCCAACTTGATTGCCTCATTGTCCCCAGCAATGGCTTCTTCTGTGTAATTCTTCTCCAAGAACTCTCTCACAGTTTTTGCGCTACGGCCGATTGCATTTGCCTGTTTTGTTGTTTTTCAAAAATACATTTTTTAAAAGTCATTTTCATACTTGTACAAGAAACCTTTTGGACACAGAAATCCTACTGACCTTCCAGGCATGGTACGTTCCTGACGGGTCCGTCTGATACAGCCTGGGAGTTCCATCGTAGTCAAAGCCAACAATTAATGCAGAGATGCCAAACGGCCTGCGACCATTGCTTTGAGTATAGCGCTACAAATACATTTAAAAAAAAAAAAAAAAAAAAAAAATTTGACAGGTTATTCATGACTCTGTACTGAAAATGAAACGGCTAGCGACCATGGTGCAGTGCACAAATGCCTACTGAAAGGAATAGCTAACACATGCCTTTTTGAAGGTGTTAACAGTAAACGACTGCTCAGATGCTTCCATACCTGTTTCAGTGTAGCTATGTAGCGTGTGATGTATTCCACTGTGACTGGGTCCTCAACTGTTAGCCTGTGGCTCTGGCACTCAACACGAGCTCTGTTTATCACAATACGAGCATCTGCGGTCAAACCTATAAAACAATGAATGAGGCCATTTAACACATTACAAAGCTAAAACAAAAATATAAAAGCCAAGTACTAACACATGACACAGCTGTCTTCTACTATGCCATGTTAAATAATGAACACATTATTCAGTTATGGAAAGAAAAGTATTATCTGGGATACCTGCAAATGCCATGCAGACGTGCTCATCCAGTGCGCATATCTTGCGGACAGTCCTTTCCTCCTGTAACTTTGCAACAGATTTCTTCTCCACACCAAGGACAACAATGTCTTTACCTCTGATTCCCACCTGCATATATAAAAAAAGAAAAAAAAGAAAACATTAATATTAATTTTCTCCCACAGGCTAGCAGTTGACGTGAGTAAATAGTATACAGCAAATATTCAGATTCCCAAGTAAATCTACAAAGCGGATACCTCTGCATGTTTGATTTGGCAGAGTTTTAAGCTGCAAGGCTCCAAATAAGTTTATGTGTCCAGGTGTAAATGAACAATTCCCCAATAAGTTGACTAAAGAAAGTAAGTACACAATGCAAAGTATATCAGAGGGACAGCTCAGGTTGAGGTTGAGGAGAGATAGTGAATACAGTGAACAAGGGAGCTGACTATGGAGCTGCCAGGCAGGAGCAAATGAGGAAGAGCAAAAAGAAGATACATAAATGTAATGAAGGTGGACATGCAGAGGGTTGGCATGACAGAAGAGGATTCTTGGGATAGGGTGAGACAAAGGCAGATGATCTGCTGTGTTGACCCCTAAAGGGAGCAGCCAAAAGAGGAATTAGAAGAGAGTGATGACATTTTTCAGTTACAACCTCAGTAAAACCCAATTAAAAACTCTGCTCAGGTCACAGGTGTTTGGTTTTTTTATTTTTATGTGAGGTTTTTTCTGTGGTCCACCTGTCCAAAAAGGAGCCCTCTACAAAGTAATCAGTTATCATAGCCAAATTTACTCAACAACCCTGATTAGGACTTATTTAAGATTACTCCCAAACACTCTAAAGTTAGAATTATTATTCTTTTTTTTTTTTTTGCATTTATTTTCATATAATAAATATAAACCGTTTGGTTTAGCCTTCATCGTTTCTCAGTGTCCTTTCTAAGCCACTATTATGACAGATGTTACCTGTAACCAGGGGAGCTGCGACTTAGTAGCTTTGTGAGTTTATAACCTTTGTCACTAAACCTTAACATAACTACCATTAGTTATGAGGCTACTACAGTGGCTTTTCGGTGATTTAGAGGGAGATATAATATGCTGAGTAAAATTCAACTTTCCAGACCAGGTAATAACCAATCATGGGTACTTGCAAACTCCTGTCAGTTAGTACCAACACAACGAAAATGAAAGTTAAGTGAAGAGTGACACAGCGACAAAATGCTAGCTAACGCTGACTGCTTTTTGTTTGCCATTTCCGGCATTAAAAATATGTATTACACATTAGCACGCCAACAAGCTCGTAAAATTGCAACAAAGCCTTTGTCCATAACAGAAGGTGTTAAGAAAGAAAACTGCTAAACACATAAAGGAAACCGCTAGCCGCGCGTTGATCGGCTAATCTAGCGTCACCCATGTTGCTATCGTTAGCTTTAGCATTAGTTTCATTTAAAGACTTACCGCTGTAGAACCTTTCTTTACAGCTTCCTGTGCATACTCCACTTGAAACAGATGACCATCGGGAGAAAAGACAGTAATAGCTCTGTCATATCTTGCCGCCATTGCACCGCAAGACGCGTATTATAGCAATAAACTGGAGAAAAGGCTACCAAATGATTCAGCTTGTTAGCAACAAGCGATTCACTCCGTGTGTTGAAAAGGGCGCCTGCGCATGACCTGTGAACTGAGACGATACCAAAAGTGGAGTCCACCCAGAGGGAACTTGTGATTAAAACATAATACTCTGTATGATTTTATTGGTTCTCCGAAAAACAGAAATCGTAAAAAGTAGAATATTACACTACGAGCATATACGGTATTTTAATATCAAGTTTCATTTACTTTATATATTGAGAGAGGTTCCTCCTTTGAATACGGATGCTATAAGAGTGAATAAGAGTACATAAATCCCAGGACTGATATTAGTTATTACTACCAAAATATATGCAATGTTATTTTTAATTAGATATATACACTAAACGCTCCGCTTTCCCCCTTTTTCTGGCAGTTTATTTTATATGGTCTTATGGTCTAGCTCTAGACTGTTCCATTATATGAAAAATAGGTGAAATTGTAATTTAATTAAGCCAAAATGTGTGTGATTTTAGCTATTTAAATAAATTTTCTTTTATATTATGATTTATCTGATCTTAAGTTTTACATCAATTACTCATGTATGGTCAGAACAAGCAGAAATCAGTAACTATGAGTTAAAATGTGCTACTTCGTCCCCCAAAACGGACCACCGCATTACGAAATTGCATCGTATTCTCAACTGCTTGATCTGAGTTCTACCGATTTGTTCAGTGTGTTAGCTACTTTTAACTTTTATGCTGTAGCTTACGTTAATATTCTATAGTATCACCATGTCGGTGGCATTTGCACCTCACAGACAGCGTGGGAAGGGTGATATAACACCCGCTGGAATACAAAAGGTAATTCATCTATTTTAGCGCGTCGCAGAATGGAGGCTGTGGCATCAAACGCGGCTAGCCGTTGAGATAATCAATGTAGCAGTGCCCATCCAAGTCCAACTGTGAGCAGCTCAGGAACAATGTTACAGGGTCAGAGCGCGGTGAATATGAACCTCCCTGGAAACGGCACTCCACGTGTGGAGTACGAGTCTTGGGTGGATTTATCGGACTAACGTATAATTGTGTTTTAGGTTAATGGAGGCCTGTGGTTTTGTTAGCAAAGCACAGCTAGCTAGCAAGACGCGTCTTTTGTTGGCTAGAAACGCACACTCACATTTTACAAAACACGACCCTTCACTGTCTCAAAATTAAGACAGAATAACATTCGGCAAGTAAATTAATTGTCACGCCAAATGACCAAGTTCGTCTGCTTTATTATGAATATTTTGGGAAGTTATATTGAGTAACACACGTAATAGAAATATCTGAATTTACCATTGCAGTTACTTGATGAAAACAACCAGCTGATTCAGTGCATAATGGATTTCCAGAGTAAAGGCAAAACGGCTGAGTGTTCACAGTAAGTTATTTGAGTTAAGTTTTTTTTAGTTTTTTTATTTCACGTTATATTTATTTCAAGTTCCCATTCACTCAAACACTGCACTGTTCACTTGCCCAGGTATCAACAGATGCTGCACAGAAATTTAGTGTACTTGGCGACGATAGCAGACTCCAATCAGAACATGCAGTCTCTCCTCCCTGCTGTGAGTATAAATTCTTAGTGGTTGTTGTGAATGACTGAAATGTCTGACTGTCTTCTCTGTACCTGTCTTCTTCGATCATACCCAATTCAGGTCACTTGGGTGTTTTAGATAAATCATAAATGTTAAAGAAACATTTTTTAAATGAGATTAAGAATTTTGAACAAAGTCATGATTTTTTTTCCCCTGTCAGCAAAATTAAAATAAGTCTTTTGAAAACCCTCACTGTTATGGATGTTCAGTACAAACAGACTGCAGTATTTCTTTATGTATGAGTGCTATCTGTTGAGCTGTTGTAGCTGCCATTTAAGGATTTATTGCCAGTAGTGCTCATTCGCAAGGCTTCATTAAGTAGAATAAATATTTTGGGTGAACAAATTGAATCCTTTGCTGAGAAAATCTATTCATTTCTCAGTTTGGTTAAGCTCTCAGGCACTTGTTAGTAGTGTTTAATATTGATATTGTTTTTATTGGTAGTAGTGTAATTATTGAGTCTGCTTATAGTTGGATTATCCATGCTCTTAATCATTTTGTAACAATTACCCATTTGAAGAACAAGTAGGCTACAAGAGTCAAATATGTCAAAAACTAAAAGCACAATTTATTTTTTTCAAGTCATTAAATGTAATCTTGATTAACTCAAAGGAGTGTTTATCAACTAGAACATTTATTAAACCTCAAATAAAGGTGTGCTTTCCTTGATCTTTAAATGTAACCGAATTCCAATAAAAAATGTAAATAGGTACATGGAGAGAGGGGAAAAAATGGTTGAAGTTAGCCCGAGAAAGCCCATCTCACAAGAGCAACTGCCAGTCACAGTGGATGCAGGCAAATGGGGATAAAGAGTCATCATTATATCTCGATTACCTTTGGAAGCCAAAACTTAATTCATATTAAAACTTGATCAATTACTCAGCCCTAAGGTTCCCAGCATCAACAAGCAACACTGTGTACAATGTGTCTGAACACAGTGTAGAAATGGCCCAAAAAAGGCTTTTATTTGCAGTTTATTTGGCGTGCTCATCTACGCAAAACAGTTGTCGGCATCGAATAAGAAGAATTGATAAGCTTGGAGGCATAGAATTTTATTAGACTTGATTAATTCCATTAAAATCTGTTATCGATTTTCAACTGGAACTATTCTTGCATTCCCATCCGTAGTTGCGAAGAAGCACAGTGGTTACAAAAGTGATTGAAGTCACTGATTTGCTAACAATCACATAGTAAAGGAGTGAGTGTATTCTTATGAGTAAATGTTGCTTACATACCTTAAACTCAGATGATGAGTGTGGGCACATTCATTTTCTTAATATGCTGCATGGTGAGCATGTTTCTGGAGGGGTTGTCAATGACTCAAACAGCTGAGATTAGGACCAGCTGTTTGAAAGAAATGCAGACTAGAGAACGGTTTTAATTGCTGCTTTTAAGCCATAAACCGTTTAAACTGCTGCATGCATAACAGTCTTAGTTCAGGCTAGTTTTTTAAGCCAGTTTTGTTCAGTTTGTTGCAACTTTGTCTATCTATGCATTTTTTAATCATTGAAGGTTTCTAGCTGTTCCTTTTATTGAAAAACTTTTTTCCTTTCAGTGTATATTAATAGATTTTATTCTCCTTACATTAGTGTTCTACATGAATGCCGCAATCTCTGTATCAGAGTTATCATATTTTTTTCAGGAGTTTTTATCTCGAGTGGCTCAGGTTGAGATCTGTTTTCAGAGAGGTCATGTGGATTTATTTTTTTGTCTGTGTTGTGCACCTACAGCCGCCCACTCAAAATATGCCCATGGGTCCTGGTGGCATGAACCAAAGTGGCCCCCCTCCTCAGCCTCCTCACGGTCACAACATGCCCTCTGAGGGTATGGTCAGCGGCGGCCCTCCAGCCCCACATATGCAGAACCAGATGAATGGACAGATGCCTGGTATGTGTCCCCCCCCCCCTGCCCCACCTTAACTTCCCTGCCTTGTCTTTCTTTTCTCTTTCTCCTTTTCCCTCAGTTCCTGTCTCACTTGGGTTGCCTAGCAACACCACAGAACTGTGAGGGAGGTCGCTCTAAGGTATTATAGGCAAACATGCTGAAGGATGATGTCACCCATTTGCCAGCTGTGGTGGTCTTGGGCTTGATTCTCCATCTGATTGTGGTTATCCTTCTCTGCTGAAGTAGCATAGTTCATGCATGCATCATTGTCTTTCTCCTGTTATTGATTGTTTTGTTTTTTTTGGGAGGGAGCATTTTCTTTTCTTTTCTTTCTTTTCTTTTCTTTCTTTTTTTTTTTTTTTTAAGAAGAACTGAATTAACAATTTTATAAAACAAAATGTGCTGACGTCTGCACCACATGGTAATTAACTGAGGAAAAATGAAAGATATTTGACAAGCCCTGGTAGTACACATTGTGTTTCCCATGTTTCCCATCATGCAGTTCTTATTGTTACATAACAAAGGTAACATCATACACAGTTGGATCAGACATTAAACAGTCTTTAACTTGCCAGCTGCGTAGCACAAAATCTGGGTAATGTCCTGTTGTAGCCATTTGAAAATTTAGGTATTTGTCCTTTGCTATTCACAGCAAGTGTGTGGGTATCATGTGCCTTTGCCTCCTGCACACTCGGGCAGCAAACTATAAGTGGAGTATTTCTTGTTGTGTGCTAGATACGAGAAAATGCAACAGCGAACAATCCCCTGACCTGATCGTTCAGCACTATGTGCAGAAATGGAGTAGTCACTACATAGAAAACACTCTATTATTGTTCTCCTTCGAATTGTGATATCTGGACCCCGTGTTTCATACATTGCTTAGAAGATCCAGTATTAACTGTGTGATCCAGGATCAACTGATCCTTGCTACTGTTATCCAGTTTGTTTGGTTATTCAAAGCTGCAAGAGACTTAGATTTGGCAGGCTGGAATGAATCCTTCAAGATGACTGCTCGTTCTTGTTGTTATCGATAAGGGAAAAATATAGAGACAAGAAAACTATGATTGTCAACTCTGTGATGAAATTATTAGAAAAGTCATCTGGATGTAAATAGCATCAATAGTAACTTACAATTCTACTGGAAGTCTCAGAATATATATATATTTTTCTGTTACCTTTCAAAGCATCATGGAGATCTTCTTCTTCTTATTTTTCAGGACCTAATCACATGCCCATGCAAGGTCCTGGTCCAGGCCCCAACCAGCCCCCGAACATGCCCAGTGGCTCTATGAATATGCCCCCCAGCAGCCACGGCTCCATGGGTGGCTACAATCACGCTGTCCCTTCCTCCCAGGGCATGCCATCTCAGAGCCAAATGAATATGACCCAAGGCCAACCCATGGGAAACTATGGGCCTCGTCCAAACATGAACATGCAGCCCAATCAAGGTAAAGCAGAAAACTTGTTATCTTCTACTCAATTGCATTAATTTCCAATTGCATTATTGTATAAAATCGCCCTTCTTTTCTTTTTAGTCATCGTGGACGTGAAATAGGTCTAAAAATACATTCACAAAAGAAAAGTCTTTAACATGTTGAAAATGGTTTTGCAGTGCCTTGTCATTTCTCTGACAGCTCATTTTTATTTTTTATTTTTTTGTTTACTTCAGGTCCAATGATGCACCAGCAGCCTCCCTCACAGCAATATAACATGCCTCCTGGTGGTGGTGGACAGCACTACCAAGGACAACAGAACCCAATGGGCATGATTGGCCAAGTCAACCAGGGGAATCATGTCATGGGGCAAAGGCCAATGCCGCCCTACAGACCCCCACAGCAAGGTATATTCTTTCGGAGTGTGTTTCTTATGTGTGCGAGTTGTGAGTGTTGGTCTTTCCTCTCCCTAACCCACCCTCCTGTATTTCTTACTCTCATTCCTCCCAGTTCCCTCTTATTTCCTCCACTGTTGCTCACAGAGATGTTGGCGACTAAAGATGTAACCTAGAGCCTCCCGCCTCTATAAAAATTAGTCAAGTGACCAAAAGAAAGCTTTCTACTAGGAACTAGTGGCAAGGAATCCATCCTCTTTACTCTTCCCCTCACACAACCAATCCAACAACACCTTGAATCTACTTGTGTGTATGTTGTGTGTATGTGTATGTAGGACCCCCTCAGCAGTATCCAGGGCAGGAAGACTACTATGGGGACCAGTACAGTCACGCAGGACAGGGAGCATCAGAAGGTAGGAGAACCTTCCAGCCGCTTGGAAACAAGGAAAAACAAAAACCTCAACAAATGAACCCAGGACTTGTGTTAAAACACAAATGATGCAAAGAGACTGTGACAAAGCAAACACTTCAGTTTCTTCATTATTTTCTGGGGAAATCAAAGTAAAAAACAAAGGTGCTGCTGTCCATTGATAAATCAGGATCTAAGCAGTCATACAGTTCTTGTAATGCTGACTCCGCTTATTCGTGAACGGGTCTCTTCGAGTTGGGGTGAAAGAAAAGTCAGGGACAGTCTTATTTGAGGCGTTACGGTAAAGTTGTGCAGAAGTAGCCTGATATCATGCTACTGCACTTTTTTGGTGCAGTAGCTGATAAGTACATATGTGTTTATATATATTTTCTATTTGAGCACTCAAGAGTTTTCCTCATTTACCCATTCACATACTCGCATTACAATAGATGCTATGGGGGAAACTTATGAATCACTATGTTGCCCAAGGTTTCGTCAACATGTAGATTAGAGGATCGAACTGCCAACTTTGCGATTTACCTCCTGAACCACAGCCACCTTATTCATATTTATAAGCACTTGTAGGTGTGCCTCTGTCCACTTCACGTAAAGCAGACTGACATTTGAAATCAAAAACTGTGGGGTTTGTTTTAAGAGCCGCAGTAGCGACACTGAAGTCTTCAAATGTTGTTTTTTTTTTTTTTAAAGTATGGCACCTTTGCATTCTTGTCAAAATATAACGGCTCATATGCAGTAGATTTTCTTGTTGTTGGTGTATTTAGGGATAGTATTAATTGCATAAGCAAACACACTTTTAAGATTACCTACTAAAATGTAGCTTTTTTTCTTTTCTTTTTTTTTTTCTTCAATTAACATTTACCTTTTTTTTTCTCCTTTTGTTTTGATTTTCCCTCTTTCTACACTGTTTCTCTTTTGACCTTTCAAACACAAGTGATTTGCTTTGGGATTTTTCTTTTTGTTTGTTTGTTTTTCTTTTTAGTCGTTTTAATGGCAAAAATGAGGAAAAATATGTATGTTAAAAATGTGCTGCTATTAAAAATGATTGTGCATGTTTGAAATTCACAATAATGACCTGTTACCTCTTTTTCCTATCTTAGAAGAAATTATTAATATGTAAACTTGTACTTTATTTTTATATTCGTACTTATTCATACAAAACTGATGTTAGACTTCATACTTCACACAAATCTGATATGGTGGCTGGACACTGACTTCTGACCCTGACACTCCCTACTACAGCCGTAGTGTAGCAGTAGTGTCTGAGTTTTATTTCCTCTATAAGAGCACTGGCACATATCATACTCTTACAAATCAAATTCATCTCTTCATTGGATAGTAAGATATTTTATTCACAGTCTTCCTTGCTTTTGTGCTGTAGTCAATAACATGTTGCTCACATTCGCTGCTGCCCCCTTCCCCCTCAAAGGTAATGCTCAATATGGCCAGCAGCAGGAGGCATACCAGCAAGGCCCACCTCAGCAACAGGGATATCCTCCTCAGCAGCAGTACCCAGGTCAACAGGGCTATCCACCCCAACAACAGGGATATGGTGAGTTACGGCAAAAATTTTATTTCCCCTGTAGGAGGCGCTATAAGCCCTCTTTGGGTGCCTTATAGCCGTTGAAAAAACATTGTTCCTTTATACACTGTTGCTTGATGTAACTAAGCTTTGTGCATATCAAGATATCATTTTGAGCAGAGAGTTGAACGACACAACCGTTCTTAATGATTACAGTTACTTAATTTTAGTAGTGCTGTGTAATATCATGTTAGCAAATTATACATGATAATAGAAATTGTCTGAAAAATAATTGAAAGTAGAAACATTCATGTTTTACAACAATACCTGGAAATAAATTAGTCAAAAAATGTTTTCCTTGCACTTTCAGTGTAGCTCTTGCAGCTTTTAGGCTTTTCTTTCCTCATCCCATTTTTCTCTGTAACTTTCCATCACTCACCCTCTGTCTGAGCCAGAGCTCATGCAAGTAATGAGCTACTGGAGACGCAGAGGTTGTGAGGTGAGATCCATCTGGCACATACACATGCCTGCTCTCTCAGGCCCCCACAAGGTTATGCTCAACAGCATAAGGCATTATGAGCGCCTAATGATGTTGCGTGGGCCTCATTTGACTTCAACTCCAGTCAGACTTTGCCCAGTCCTTCACAACATCTGTACAGGAGCATATATAACATAATAATATAATATATACACAACCTTTTTTTTTCCCCCTGCTTTTTTTCCTGTCTTTCTGGGTTTTTTTTTTTTTTTTTTTAAATGATGCTTGCTCCTCTAATGAAGACCAACAGAATCTCTTTGATGTCTCCTTGCATTAGGGAACCACTGCCTGTCTCCAGCCTGACTCACTCGCTCTCATTCATTACTGAGTCAGGCGTGGTGGAGGCAGCCGTAACAAATGGGTCTGACAGATCCGCTATTCTTTTTGTCATCCATCACTTTTTTTTTATTGCAGCCCACTAGTTAATGTAAACTAACAGGTATTTCCCAAAGTTTTCAGAATAACAAGTCCAAAGCATAAGAAAAATGGAAATGAGTTTGGCAGAATCAGAGCCGGATTAGGACTTCAAGTATAAACCTGTTTTTGATGCTGCACCTTAACACTTCAGTAACACTGGTTGACAGTCAGTTTTTATAGAATTTTCCTGCACTGCATGCTTCAGTGCTTCAACCTAAATTAGTTTTTTTTTTGTTCCATATCCTTTCTTCTTCTTTTTAATAAACTGTGTTCATAATAAACTACACTGTGTGGAAGCATTTCATTTCTCTGTTAACAGTGCCCAGCAATCAAAGAGTTTTGGGTTCACTCAAGGCTGACAAGCATAAAAAGTTCTCCATTTATTAATGTGTTTGTTTGTAGGTCCCTCCCAAAGTGCCCCAGGACAGTATCCTAACTATCCTCAAGGGCAGGGACAGCAGTACGGGGGCTATCGCCCTCCACAACCCGGTCCCCCACAGGGCCAACAGCAGCGCCCTTATGGTTATGACCAGGTGAGTATAACCCCAACAATGGACAGTGACAGAGGCTTGTCTGTACATTGCACTTAGGCTTTCTCTTACTGTGTTTATTGCCATGCTAAGTTGTATGTTATATATAACTCTCAGTTAGACCAGTAATTAATGTAAGTGAAGTACGATGGTAAAAATTAAGCAGTAGTACGTTATGCATGCTGTCATCATATTCGGTGGTTAAATGTGTTCTTCCTAAAAGGGTTTTCTATGTTAATATTGTTGTGTTCTGGCTAATGTGGTATGCCATTCCAGTGAAATATGAGGGCTTTAAAGAAGATTCTTCCTTAAACTTGATGCAGACTGCTCTAGTGTTTAAAGGAAGATCTGTTTGTTGCCCTGTATTTCCTGTGGTCTTATGTGGGGACCACAGCTACACTTTGATATCTTTATCTTTGAATATTCAGGGGCACATGAGGAAATAAAGACCCGGGGATTTGAACCCCTGACTAGCTCTGTAAGAAGCAAAGGTAATGGTTGCTGTGAAGACCTCAACGTCCAATCTAGACGCTTGACCACCTAGCCTTAATTTGCATTTGTTTTGTTTCTTCTGTCTCTCGTCTGTCTTTCTTTACCCATCTTTTCTTTTTCTTAAATTTTTCCTTTTCTATTTTTTTTTTCTTTTTTTTATTAACCAGGGGTCGAATTGTAAAGATATGAGGTCCAGAAACACAGCATTCTTAGATTGTAATAAGACAGACAGGAGCTCACATTCTCTGACTGTCCTTAATCTCTACAATGTATGACACTGGTCTTCATAACCAGTGTGTTTGTTGGATTGAAATTTTATCTTTCAAATCATTGTTTCCAAATTTGCTTCCATTGCATTTTCCATTAAAGTCAAACACATACTTCGACCCCTGTGTAGGAATAAAGAGAATACTGCTGTTCTTCCACTGAATTTGTCTCACTTGAAAATTAGTGTCCACTGTTTAATAAGGATTATCGTCCTCAGCCATGCTGCTGCTGAAACCTGAGGTAAAAAGTTCGAATTTAGAGCTCACAGGTTGTGAGGTTATGCTGCCATCTGCTGGTCAAAACCAGTCAGTGCAGGCATAAATCACGGTTTGCAGTATGATATGGTTGAAACCACAGATTTTTGTCTGCACCTTATTGAGATTTGTGAACATAAACTTCTGATTTTATTTATTTATTTATTTATTTTTGTTTGTTTGTTTGTTTTGAAAAGGTCAGTATCACGAGGATGTTGCATTTCTCTCCACAGGGCCAGTATGGAAATTACCAGCAATGAGAAGTGATCACAGCAACCAACACAGCTCTGCTCTGATCTCTAAGCTCTGACCTCTGGTCAGTTACGAAGCAGACTTTAATGATGGTTTTAATCTCTCGGACACAAACACACAATGCTCAAAAATACAAGATACAGTTTCCCCTCTCTTTGGGATTTTATCTTTGCTGATAAGATGTAGTCATGTTTATCATATTTGCTGACATTACGTCAAAGTCAGCGAGTCACCTCTGGTCCAGTATGTCTCAAAGCAGCAATGCCTTAAAAATGGAACTGCCTTATCCTTTAGCATTGCAGATTGTGAAATGGGCTAACAAAATTTTGGATAACACATGATGTAAATGTACAGTTTGAATCTACGTGGTGCATTGTTTCTCGATCCTTCAGCTCCCCGATCATCAGAAGCAATAATGCCAGCAGTAGGTAATTGTGTGGGGGACAGGGAAAGATGAAATGGTGCACCAAGTGAACTTCCAGCTAGGCCATGGTACATGTCTTGATGTATGTGATGATGTAAAAATATATTTTATGCTTTTTAGATCAAGCTAACTTTGTATAAGACATTGGAAACTAGTACTAAAGCTGTGTTGTTAATTTCATCAAGTGTATGTGTCAATGTTTTTGTTTGGGGTTTTTTTTTTTTTTTTAATGCTCTTTAAGATCCCATCCAGCACATTTCCTTTAATTGTTTAATTGTGGAACAATTAAATTAAATCTGCAACATCAGCAGCGCGAACACCGAAATACAAGAACAGGGATTTTTTTTGACATACACAGTAATTCATCAGTAAACAAATATGAACATCATACTTATCAGAAATCTGGTGTATTCTGCGAGTTCTTTAGATTTTTTTTTTTTCTCTTAAAAAAGTGGGTGAGTAATTTTTTTTTTTTTTTTTTCCCCAAACCCACAGTACTTGACAGAATAATGGTTGTTGGCCTCTATTTCATAAATGTGCCCGAAGAGGTAATATGTAGCAGATGCCACTGAAAATTGTGAGTAAATGCTCTCTGGAGCCCTGTTTTTATTTTTTACTTTTTCTATACATGCACCTCAGTCTTGTCCATTGACTGCAAATTAGTGGATGGGGAAAGAATCCAACTCGGTATTACAAATATATCTGGCAAGTACTTCATTTGTTAGTTGATAACGTTAGTTTGTTCACAGTGCTGGAATCCCTCCTCCCCTTTGAATAAACGTCTAAGTTGATGCCATTCAAATAGTGTTGTGTGTGAATAAATGATTGTTACTGTCAAATATGTAACATAAGATGTGAAAATAATGTTCTGAAATCGATTCCTTAATTTCACAGTAAAGACTGGTTGTGCAGTTTTATATTACTGGCTTGATATCTGTATTATGGTGCATATTTTATTGATTCCCACGTGTACAGCGACATAAAAAGAGGAATTCAGTGTCCTCCTGGTATTGTTTATATGGTTGTTTTAATATTTTTCATTCTGCACCCCATTTAAGTGGTGGTCACATTTGTGTCATGGCAATGTATAACTGTACATTATAATAAATCGGAAGAATCTTTAATATATTTTGCCGTGTGTAATTTATAGATATTGACAGTTTATCAAGAGACTGTTTATGACACCAGAAACATTCATCCTGAACAGCATAAACAAGATGTGCACTATTGGTGCTGTCATAATGTGACAGTATGATATAATTGTTTTGTCTTCATCTGCTATCTGGTAGTCAGTTTCCAACTGATAATGACCCTGCCCTGCTCAGCAGCGTGTCTGCTTTGTCCAGATGCATCCAGAGAGGTCCAGACCACATTTACACCCAAAATTACCTTCCGTGTCCCTCTTTCCCCTTCTGCTCCCTCCAGAGAGGGAGAGGGACTACCTGTCACATTGGGGGGAGTGATACAGATGGTACACCAGATGTGTGGCCAAAGCACGTGATGGGAGAGCGGTGCGGTATTAAGAGCGCTGCGGACTGCTTGGGATGCCTTAGTGCTGATGAAATGTGTGTTTGGATTAATGAGTGCAGCAGAAGTGCTTTAAGAAAAGAAGCGAGAAAGAACTTTTTTTTTTGCAGTGCGCCTGTTTTTATTTTTGCTTTATGTGCTTGTGTGAACATTTGTGTATCCCTGCTCAGGTTTAGTGGCGTCGCCTAGTCACCCCACCACCCTGCTGCTCCACAGCTGGCTGCCCCACCCTTCCCAGCTGCCACTGGGGCTCCCCCTGGCCCCTCTGCTTGGCAGAGCTGGCGTTTTGGGCGCTCCCCCACCAGTCCTCCCTGGCAGCTGCTGCCCTCAGCTGCACTCTTGCAGACGGTATTGGGGTCGGGCAAAGTCACTCCTCCTGTGACTGTGTCTCGGGCCGTCGTGGGAGGATGAAGAGGTGGCAAGGAGACTCTTGCTTCCTATAAAAGCTTTGCTTTTTAGGCTCTCGTGGATGCTTGAGGGTTGGAAATACATTCGACAAGCTTAACATTCGAAAAATCCACCTGTTTTTCCATTGAAGAAAAGAAGATGTCTTTGGCTGTGCAGATCTAAATAAGTTATCAAGAAAGCTTGCAGGAGAGCATTACACCATGCATGTTCTGTGATGGCAAATAGTGAAGTGGCAGCATCATTTAAGAGGATGATTATCTTGTTCAATATTTTGATAATTATAATTCAGGGCACCTTTCAGAGGAGGCTCCTAACCACTGAGGAGAAAATGACATCGTGATCATAGCTGGCAGGCAAGATGTGATCTCTCTCTCTTTCTCTCTCCCCCCCCGTCTCCACACTAGCTCTCCTTTTCACTCTCTCATACCCACACTCTCAGTGTGACAGAAAGTCTATGGGGAGGTATAAGAGGTAGTTATGGGGGGAATGCAGCAGCCTCCACAGTTTAATTGGAGATGTGTCACACTAAATAAATGGTGCAAAAACAAGCCCTGACTGGAGGCTTGAGGGAGGGGCCCTGGGGATGCAGCCTGTTTTATTGGGCAGGAGCTTTGCACCGCTCCAGGGTGAAACGGGGCTATGCACTGCTGAGATACCCTCCAACCACCAAACCACCAGGCCTCCCAAAGACTACTGTGGAGGAAAAGACAAAGGCATCCATTTCTCTCTTGCAGGGGAGAAAAGAAAAAAAATTGGTGCTGAGGAGAAGGTGTGGGTGAGTATGGTGACCCGATTGTTTCTCGTCCAAACGGGAGCACATCATAGTCCTCATTCAGTTTCTGAACGCCGGCAAACAAATCCATAACTGAAAAGTCTTGAGTAAGCGCTGTCTGCCTCACTTACTCCTAGATCTTATATATGTCAATTTATGTTTTGAGGAGAAGGCAGCCAACAGCCTCCAGCTAATCCCATTTCCCTGCGTAATCCATAAATGACCTCCAAGTTAGCAGAAGAATGTGTTTTCCGATATTCCATCAATGTTGATATAACTGTTGGACCGCTTTGCTTGTACAGTGCGTGTCTGTTTGTGTGTGCGTGCATTTGCACCTCGGATTGCAGAGTTCACGGCACGAGTTTTGATTTACTTCTACAGTGTGCTGCGGTAATTGGATGTGACACCATTCTCTCTGCTCTCCCTGGGGGATATAACAGAAATCTGACTATTATGGCCCCAGTCATGAATATGTCAGGAAAGCTGCAAACAAAAGGCCCACGATTTGGATAAGACTCCTTTGTATGTTGTCTCTGCACTGATGTATGAGATAAATGCTGCAAGAGTAAATGAGTTTTCCGTAGAGCAATTTGCTGTGTTTACAAAGAAAGATTAATTGTCATTGTTTAGAAGAAATCATAAATATGGTCGAGACAACGTTTAGTATCGCATTACGCCTGCCAGATACACGCTCGCTTCACGCATATTTGTGTAAGCTATTATATCTAGTTTCAAAACAACTGAAAAGATTTTTTGGACCTGACGATACACAAACAGGGTGATCCCCTAGAAAGACATTGTTTTGCATGCATTTGATGTGCAGAGCTTCGCTTAAATCCCATCGTTTGTTGAGGGTTTAGCTATCAAATCAAATTGAGTGTGCTGTTTTGTATGTGTTCTAGCCTCAAAAAAGTAGTCTCTGGGTAAAATAGCAGGTATGCTGATATTAGTATTCCCACAGCCTGCATAATTGCTGTAATTTGCTTTCCCTTTGGGTAATCTGTAAACATGGCTGTTTTGATGTTTTTGGCATCCTCCATTGGCTGAGCTCTCAACTCCTCCAGTGGAGCCCCCATCCCGGCCCAGGGTGACACAAATAGATCCTTCCCCAGAAGGTGCACGTAGTTCCACATGGGCACAATCAATACAACCCAGTCATCGCTGGAACTGTGGCGGTATTAAAAGCACCCCGTGAGCTGGTTCTCACCATGCCGGCATTTTAGGGAAATAAAGCTATTGATCCTCCAGGGCTTCTGGCAGAGCATTAACCTGGGCCTACAAATTAGAACGTGCTCATCTGGACACATCTGCCTGCAATGTTCCAAAAAAGCCAGTCCCAGGGAGAGAAAAGGAGAGCTGTGAAGCCTGCTGCTTCCAGTGATGAGAAGAGCGCTACTTGACGCCCATGTCAGAGCGGGGGAGGCATCTGGATGCCCAGGACTTCCATTAGAGGCCCAGGATGGTGGTATGGGTCGATGTGGTAAGGTTTTGTTGGGGGTACTCCATCTCAGATCAGTGTGGTTTCTTCTCCCTGTTGTAGGAAGAGGGGGGTTGACCCACAGTAATCCCGAGCTCCTGACTGGAAGGACAATAAGGTAAAGGGCTGCTGCTAATACTGTTTCTTCCAGCAGTGTTGAAGACCTTGCCTTTTTCCCCCTGCTTTTGAATACACTTTATGAAAACCGGACTGTATCTATCACTGTCACTATTCACAAAAATATTCAGTAGAACTTCATATCTCCGTTTTCAGATTATATATTTATTTGTCTGCAAAAACACTTCCCAACATGGAGATCACGAGGCTGTATCAGCCGCTGATTCAAATGTATCACTTGCTCGAATGTCATACAGGTCAGTAATTATTTTTGAGTGGGAGATTAGACTCTGTGTATTAACACACACATTTTCAATACTTCTACTCAGACTTTATTCTAACCATTTTCCTCTGGAATGTAACCCACCTATATGAGATGTGACACCAGTCTAACCCCTTCTTTAACACATAATAGGGTTTAATTGTGAATTCTATATAATATATTTCACATTTAAATGTCTCACAGACTAGAGGTATTCTGTGCACAACAGGCTTTTGCTTGATTATTGTTTACTGAACAAGAGAACTGATGATATCCCTTTTAACAACGCATTTCACTGGTAATGCTCAAACAGATCGAGACACTTTGGAAACTCTCCCTTTTTTCTCAGCCTGCCCTAACAGTGGGAAGCTTGGAAGTTCTCTGCCCCAGTTCTCCATGTCCTTGAGAGTTGTGCCTTCGGGCCGGGGCTGTTGGGGTCCCGCAGTGCACAATGTGTGCTTCTCACTCAGGCTCCCGCTGTACTCCGCAGCCCCTGCATGGCTCTGGAGAGTTGCCAAGCTCTGAGGGGATGTCCGTGTGAGGTGGGGGCGTGCGCACGTTAGCACAGAACCACTCTAAACATCTCACTTCCTTTTTCCCCATGACAGTCGACCGGATATAAATCACTTTGCTGGATTGGCGGACTACAATGGGATGCTTGGGAAGATTGTTGTTATGAATAATCAGACTAATTGCAATAACCAGTGTGAAGTGATGTGCAAATGAATGAGGAGCTTGTTTTTCCACATTCTGCTTTTGCAAAGGTTAAACCTTAGGGCACGGTCTGATTCCTACTTAGTGAAGTCAATGAAAGCCTGTGTGGAATTTGCATTAAATGGGACGAAAATTAAATTAGTCGTGGTATATTTTTATTATTTTTTTAAATAATTTTTTAGACATTATTTTATGTCGGCCTTTTGATTGAATTAACATAAGAGCAGAGTATAGGAGGTGGTCTTAATTTGTAGCTGTATGTATTTGACAAATCTCTTTATATTTTATTCAGTGCATTTGTATTGTTGTTCTTTTTTCTCGCAATTAATATGGATATTGGCCAAGAGCAAAGATAAAGATCCATTTTCTAATATTTTGTCCTTGGATTGTGCACTCAGGGAATTCACTCCCCTTCTTCTCTTTCGTTTCCCTGGTTAAGGCATGGGGAATTGGTGGGATGAGAGGCTATTCCCTAAATAGCCCATGGCAAGAGGTATCCTGATTAGCATGCTGCCTGCTCTCTGGCAGCAGTCCTCCAGGCCACCAGTGCTATCACTTATGTGCTGTTTGTATTTGTAGTTGATAGTGTGTGCTGTTATAATTGGAATGAGCTCAGGAACCTCGTTTGCTTTTGATCCGCTGCCAGCCACTCAGAGTGCTACTGGGCCACAGCTCTCACCTCAACACTCCCAGTGGATTATGGGAAACTGCAACGCTTATGTTCTAAAAAGCGCCTGACAGCATCTCACTCAAGGTCGAACAATACAATGGTGAGTGTGGGGAGTAGAACAAAAAAAAAATATGGGGGAAAAAGTTGAACAGATATTTGATGTAAGACAGGGTATTG